CAGTCCGGTGCCCCACTGTTGGGAGACCCTGGCCAGTATGCCCAGCCCACCCCTCTCCCAAATCTCCAAAATGGACCCGTCTATGCCAGAGCAATTCAGAAGAGGGTGCCCAATGCCTACGACAAGACCGCCCTGGCCTTAGAGGTAAATATAAAAACATGGAGTGGTTTTCCTCATCCTTAAGCTGTCTTTTTGCTTTCACTTGAGGACACAAGATGTAAAACACAAAAAAAGGTGTAGGTTTATAAGTCACATTTTTGGCTTTTTTTATTCCTGAGTTCTTGCTTAGTTCCTCTTGATCTTTGTTGATGTTAAAAAGATACTTGGTTGGAAAGTTTTCAGTCATCTTGATTGTCTTCATAATATACTCTCCTGTTTAATTGTTTAATTCTGTGCACGTATATGGCCTGGAATGATTTTTTTAAGCCACTTCAGTAGAAAACAGGACTGAACATTAGTTTCTTCATCAGTGACTTTTTTTAAGAGAAGAAAAAGGAGAAATGTAAAGAGGATGATTGAAAGAGAGATTAGAGAAGATTTGTTAAATATAAACCCAGAAAACACAAGACAACACACCTGACATCTGTCTGAACACCTGTAAAAATGGAGAAAACTAGTCTGGTTAAAACCAGACCCTGTCTTTCACTTTGCTTGGTACTAGGGTCTGGACTTGATGCATAATGCGTTTCTTGCAGGAGGCGTGGCCTCTGCTGAAGCATGTATGTGTTGTCGCTGTGACGGAGGCTTAAGCTAAGAAGCTAACCAGAAATCACGTGTGCTTTTATTAAAGGAGACCAATTATGGGTCCTAGAAATTGTTATGGTATGTCTGTGGGCTATCCAGACCATGTTCATTCAATTTAATGCTCAAAATAATTCTCAGATAATAAAATTTCCCATTTTCTAGTTCTGCCTGCTCTGACTTCTGTTCAGAAGAGCTGTTTATGTTAATGAGCTCTGTTGGTAACGCCCTCCAAAAATCTGTTCACATTGGCTGTGTCCAAAACGGTAGGACGGGTCCTCTGAAGGTCGAATTCGTCGGCCGCATACGTCACAGC